GGATCATTTAGTCATGTATAATCGTGTGAAATAGGTTCTTATGGTACAGCAGGAGTCTGGGGACAATTAACCAATTACAACCAACTAAGCAAGTTTATACAGATGTCTGAGCAAGCCTTGAGTAGAGACTACCATGACTCAGGGCTGAAGTAAATCCAGGATTAATCTAGTTCTTATAATGATTTCATTGAGCCAGACCAAATGCTTTTTATATGACTTGGCTACAAAAATGCATACAGTACAGAGTTTACATTTTTTTCTTTCAACTTGAACTACATACCACTTAAGAAATATTGAAACTTTTACATTTACCTGCCTTGGCCTTCCCATAAGAAGAGAAAATGTTTTACCTGTAGAGCCTCAAGCAAGTTCAAGGATTTGATAATAGTTTTGTTACAGAAAACTTCGCAGTGATGTATGTGCAGAAATGCAGGACTTGTTAGGCTGTGCCAGGCAGTCTTATCTCAGTCGGCCCCTAAGACATTGCTGTAAGGTTATTAGTTGCCTCAAAGGGGCCACAGATAAAAATATTCCTTCCATTAAAAAAAAAAAAAAAGAATGCCTAGAATTCATCTTAACTCCTTTGGTTAGTTTCTTAAATTTAACATCTCCTTGACTCACACACAAAGCAACACATACATTCCTGAACTACCTCTATCTGGTTTGAGGTTTCTCTCTCTCTCTCTCTCTTCTCTCTCTCTCTCTCTCTCTCTCTCTCTCTCTCTCTCTCTCTCTCTCTCTCTCTCTCTCTCTCTGTCCACTCCCCACCCCTTTCCCCCTCCCTCTCTTCCTCCCTCCCTCCTCTTTCTTCTTCTCCTCCCCTCACCTCCCCCCATCTTTCTCTCAATTCTAACTAGAACTTGATGTTTTAAAATCTAAGAACAATTTGAGGAGATCTTTATAGTTACATTTTAGTAACAGAGCTCAGTCGAAGATAAGCTCCGTGGTGGAGAGAGGATGGAAGGAAGAGACTACTGGTCTTTTTCATAATCCCTGAAGGGCTGCAAATTTTCCATTGGTTTTATCAAATTAATTCTCCCAGTTGATTCACATGTGATGTAGGAAAGTGACAACACTCTTCAACAGCCACATCCTGGCAGCTGCAGTGAAGTCAGAAGGTAACAAGAGAACCGCTTCTCCCCCGTGACAGTTCCATCTCTTTATACATCTAGATACTAAGAGGATGAAAGGAATCACAGCCCAAATTTATTTGGGGAGTTTCATTTAAAATTACCACACATAATACTGATACTAGAATGAAAATGAAAATTAATCCCATTTACAATTTTCATCATTTTACAAGGAGAGATAGAAGCCTTGAGGCTGGGCCTGCGTGGGTTTGCTACCATCCGCACCAGGTCCTGAGCTGGCCTATTTCTGCGGTATGCTGAGAACACCTTGTAAGATTCAGAGTCTGAAAGTGGCAGCATTTCCATCTCATTAATTTTTTTTCTGAATTTAGTAATATCTTAGACTGTTCCCAAACTTCCATTGCTCCCAGTGAGGTCAGAATCAGCGCTGGTGTCCTGGAATGGGGAAAGGGCTTGGGAGAGACTAAAAGTCTTAGGCAAGCAGCTAAGGACCCTCAATTCAACCAGCATCAGAGTCATTCTCTTGTCCCTCTGAGGGGACCCTACATGGAAAGCTGAAATTATAGAAATCTGCCAAGGCAAGAGGTCAGCTCAGGCTTCTCGGAGCTCAATAAAAATAACACCCCCAACTTCTAGAGCCGCATCCCTGAAACTCCCACACAGGACACACAGCCCAGCCCCTGTGCAGCCCTTAAACCCCACTTCTTCTCAACCTCCCACACAGTCTTCCAACCCACCACTCACTCTGCCATGCTAATTTTTTCTCCGTGAATTCTCATGAGCTCTTAGTGGGGAAAAGGGAAAATTACAAACACACGAGAGAGTGAAAACAGAATTTGCTAAAGTATGTGACCAGGGTGCAAATGATGTGACTATTTCTATCACACCACGAGATTCCTTTCATCCTCCACATGATTCTTATTAAAACATTAGTCCTGAGACAGATGTGTCCTCAGGCAACGGTGGTTGTCGAGGTTTGATTTTGGGGTCAAGAGCGCTTATAATCCCTTCTCCTGTGGTTCTCAAGATGAGCCTTGTGGAAACACTTCATTCATTCACAAATATATATGGTGTACACCATATAAGATACATAATTAAATGGAAACCAGTTCTTGCTCTCATTTTCCCCATCATCTCCTTCCTCACAGCCTCCCAATTTCTCACTTAAATAGACTTTATCTTCCTTCTTCAGTCTCAAACTTTCTCTCCAGTTCATTCTCTATACTGATATCTCAGGGAGATTTCTAAATACCATTCTGCTTCCCTGGCCAGGTTATCCCCTGGTTAAAATTTTCAGTGCCTCACTGTTGCCTTTAAAATAAAGCTTGAATTCCTGAGGAGCAGAATAAACAATTCCCCAACTATACCATGTTCTCGGACCTCGGGGTCTTTGCACATGCTGCTCTCTCTACCTAGAGTGCTTTCTCTCCTCCTTCATTTGGGGAACTTCTACTGATACTTCAAAACTTAGCTGAGATGTTACCAACTCTAGGAAGCTCCCTCTGACCTCCAGCCCCACCCATTCTGAGTTAGATGCCCCTCCTTTCTGTTCCATTAGCACTTGGCTAATACCTCTGTCATAGCAAAGATATATTGAATAGTAATGATCTTATTTACGTACTTTCTCTCCAACTAGACTGAGAACTTACTGTAGATAGAAACTATAAATCATTTATCACTATATTTATCTTATCTCCCCAGTAGACTGTCTAACACATAGTAGCTGCTCAGAAATTGATGAGTAAAGAAGCTCAAAGTCTAGGAGAGAAACAGAGAAGCATAACTGTATGTGGTGTGAGAAATAACAAAGTGGGGTGCAGTGATGAATGAATACAGAAACTGGACACTTCTGCTTGAGAAGACTGGGTCTAGGGAGGTATCCCAGAGAAGGAAATGCTTGGGCTCTCCTCGAGGAGGACTGAGAAATCACCAGGCTTATGGGAAGAAGGCGAAGAGAATGGTGGCATATGTAAGGCCCTAGACGATTACCTCGGTATGATGCATTTGGGAATATTTCCCTTAGAAGAATGACTGGTGACAGTGAGAAAAAGATATTGATGGTAGGGTAACAGGAGATTATTGGAATAATCCAGTCAAAGGCCTAAACTGAGCTAGTTAGCGATGGGATGAAATGTGAGAACAGAGACAATTGCAAGAAGTTAAGGAATGGTGGTGGCATTAACCAGCCTTAGTAATTAAGAGGAAAGACTGCTTTTGGAGAAAGATGGTAAACCCGGTCTGCTGGTGTTGAGCTGGAGTTGCCCATTGTACATCCAGGTGAAGATGTTTAGTAATCAATTTTGATATAATTGATGTAAGTCTGCAGCTCAGAATAGAGTCTAGCTAGGAATGAAGGCTCTCTACTATAACTTCATTGGAACTTTAGTTTTACTTCTACAATTTAATTCAGTGCCATGAGATTTCAGTCATGGGTGGGGACTGCTAGGAGAGAGACAATTGGTCTCACATCTGCCTCTGGCTGGGTTACATGGCCTCCAGCAAGCTACTCAACTTCAGGCTGTGTCTGTTGCCTTATGGGAAAGGAGACAGTTAAGGAGACCTGAAGAAAAGTGTTGCAAACATTAGCCCTAAAACAAATTAATTGAGTCCTGTCTTTCGTGATCCTTCCATGGAATGTGAAAGTCATGCACTAAGGCCAACCTCTTCCACTACCCAAACACCATACCTCCAAAAGCCACTGAGCACTGCACAAAGGGGGAAGTCCTTCCTTCCACTGCACTGGAATCCTTACCCCTAGAGAATCCTCTCAAGGTAGAGATGTTACTTCCTCACTACGACAAACATGTGTTAGTTATGTTCTCCCACTTTTGGGGACGTGGTCTTATTTTAGTGCCCCAGCTATCGTGATGGCAATCTTTTGTTCCTGTTCTTGCCCCGTCTGCAGCACCCATCTTCATAATGCTCTCCTATAGGGAGTTTATTTGTGATTCTGTCTGCTTATAAAGTTTAGGCTGAGATCTGCTTTGTTTAAGGAACTCAACTAAAATAGCATTTTTGCAAAGCAACTCATTGTGCTTTCCCTGGCTAATTTGTCTTAAGTGACTTGCACTGAAATAAAACATATTTTAATTCAAAGTTTCCTGACAATAATGATGCTATGGGAGTTACATGATATGCTTATGTTTGAGCCTCTTTTATTCCAAATATCTATTCAAAAAGGCTAACTGAGAATTGCTTATGGAACCCAGGCATTTCTGACAAATCAAAAGGGATTGGTATTTCACCAAACAGCTCTGGCAACCAGGTGTGAGCATGGCAAAGATTTAGCAAGGGTACTAGTCATGCACGGAGAATGGAGGATCTCATTTTTAATTCAAAGGACTGTGATAGAAAACTCATCATCAAATTTGAATGTCAACCAACCACTATTTACAAAGAAGGCAATATCACAGTAGCACCCAGGGAAATTTAAATAATGCAGAATAAAAATTCACAGAGAAGCCCAAAAACCAATCATTCTATCCAACACGCTGAATTAGATGCTGCACTAAGCCCAAAGCTGGCACTGTGTTCAATAAAAAGGCTTTAAAATATTTACTTCTTGTTTCAAAGCAGAGGTGCCAGGTTATTTGGAATTGTGATATCAAACCTATTCCCTAATTTAAAAAAAAAAAATGCTGAATAGTTCAACTATAGTCTCTTCCATATTGGCTAAATATACATGACATATCATCACAACCTCCGTGGTCTGATATTTTAATTTCAATCAAGGTAAATTAAGCTTAGTGGTCAGACTCAGGATTCGCCTCTTCTCAGAAGCAGCAGGCTACAACCAAATTCTTCAGACGCTCTCTGGAAACGGGTAATATACGATGCTTTTCTAATCTTTTGGAAATGCAACTTGAGTAGAACCATCTGTGGTTGACTTAATGTTTCTTTAATTAACAGGTAGGAGATCAAATCATTGAAATCAATGGGGAGAGCACAAGAGACATGACACACGCCAGAGCAATAGAGCTCATCAAATCTGGAGGAAGAAGAGCGAGGCTGCTGCTGAAGCGCGGGACGGGGCAGGTCCCGGAGTATGGTACGTTTCACGTTTTGATTCACCTTTTCTCTGTTTTTTCCATATTCTGTAAATGCCATTCTTATTTATAAAACTACGTCAGTTCTCTAATTCTACCTAAATATATATTTAGCTATCTATAGATATCTATACACATATGTACATTTAAGCACAAGATATATACGTGTGTGTGCTTTTTCTTTTGCTCCTTTAGTTAAGTAATGTTTAAAATAGCAAATATAGATCCTTTCAGGGCATCTCTGAGTGTGCTGGGAGATCCAGCCACCACTAAGATATCAGATCTGTCATAATTTGACTGATAATTCTCTGTTCATTTGAGTTCACAGTAATTTTTCAATTATTTCCTAAAATTGTTTCTGTATCACACTGTCCCTTAGGATATGTAACTGGGGCCAGGGAACAATCCGGAACAAATCTTTAGGTGTGAAGATTAAAATGTAAACCTCAGTTCATGCAATGGTTGCATTGCCTTGACATTTAGGGATATTCAAAAAATTCACTTATGTTGTGTATCTATATGCTTTTGAGGAAGGCATTAAATGCATTTTAATTCATATATTTGCCTTCAGAAGTCTTTAATAGTGTTATTTCTCAGCAGCCCATTTAAGGCACCACTGACAACATTACTAAGGAACTGCGGAGTGGTCACTACGTGACCTGGGCTGCTTTTTAATTAATCTCAAGAGTGACAGACAGACAAACAGACAGATATCATTGAAGAGCAGTGCAGATAATACATCTCCAGATTAGAGAAATTGGATCTAACTGCTGACCTGAATAATTAGCTCAAATTGTTAATCTAGATAAATTGACTCTCACTTTCACCCCTCCATCCCCAAACTCCCAAAAAACAATTCTAAATAGCACTTCATCCTCTCAAATTATGCTTTTTGCCTAAATTACCTAATAATTGACTGAACACTTCCTTATTTAGCAGATCAGTATAGTCCTGAGTTCAGCTGAAATATCTAAATTCAAAAGCCCTTAAATACTTTGTTTCCAGTGACTTAAAGACACCCCAAAGCCTACAAAAAGGGCTGGCAAGCCCTCACATTAAGAGTCAAAATGGCTGGCAAGCCCTCACATTAAGAGTCAGAAGTTTCTGTAGAGCTGGCTCTATACTAAAGGAAATAGTTCATCCCAGGTTCCCACTCTTAATGCTTGACTCCAATGAAATATTTTTAAATATTAATATTAACAATGAGCACAGGCCCGATCCTGTTAATGGCATCAGCATTAATCCCTTAATAGAGAATGTGAACTCTTGGAGTAGAATAACTTTTTGCACCCTAGAGCAGGGGTCTGCAACCCCCAGGCCAGGGACCAGAACCATCTGTGGCCTATCAGGAACCAGGCCACACAGCAGGAAGTGAGTGGCGGGCAAGCAAGCGAAGCTTCATCTGCATTTGCAGCCTCTCCCCGGCGCTAGCATCACTGCCTCAGCTCCACCTCAGATCATCAGGCATTAGATTCTCATAGAAGCACCAGTCCCTGGTGCCAAAATAATTGGCAACCACTGCCCTAAAGCATTAAGTGATTCTGTAATATCAAACTGACCTGTAAGATTCTGACACTTCTAAAAAATACTTCATTTTAAAAGTATGTTTCACTCCACGGCAAGACCTATTACCTATACCAAGGGATTTTCATAGAGTTTTTATTGTTCTTATTGTTCTAACAAGTTAATCTTTAAAGAGTTAATCTGAACATGACTATCCTGAGCGTTCTCTTCTTTTGTGGACTCACTATTTGCTCCATACTTTCTGGGTCTGCCATGCCAGCTGCTTGTCTATAGTGAACAGTTAGAACAGTCCTACTGACCAACATGTGGCTTAACCTGTAATATATAAGTATGAAGCTACCTCAAAGCATCCTTAAGAAAAAATAAAAACATGTTTTTAAACAAGACAAAAGTTCATGATCATGTCAACATTATCTCATTAATTCTTAATATCATCCAAAAATACCTAGTTAAGGTTAAATTCTAAAATTAACCAACACAGAGAGTTTGTTAAATATCTGGGCACACTTTTGAGGGACCAAAACTCTAGCAGTATTGCGGAGTTTCTTCTAAATATATTCAAAAATGTAACATTAAAGCATACTTTCTGGTAATGTGAGAGCTTGTCAGCTACTTTTGATGTTAGATTGACATGGATTATTACTGTAAAATAATCTTAGAGATTATGTTCACAACAGAACAAATTTAAGAGAGCAATCTCCTTTAGGGAAGTAAAAGAATAAACCACAAACTAAGTAAACATTAGCTCTTTAGGAAACTCTAAGCTGAAAGATGCGTGCCTACACATGAGAAACCACGAAGGTTAGGGACGAGATCAGCATCTTTGAGGATAATGCCATTAAGTGATATTTCTGGAATCTCATAGTGATAAATGAGGGGGTGTTTCAGGGGTCCCCAAGACCACCCTACATTCAGAGGTTTGCTAGAAGGATTTCTGGGGCACAGCATATAGTTGTGCTCACAGCTAAGATTTATTACAGTGATTTAGTAAGGATACACGAGGATAAGAGGAGCCTGGAGAAATCCACGTGCAGGTTTCCTCTCTCCTCTCTCTTCTCTTTCTTCTCTCTCTCTGTCTCTCCCATGAGGGTTTACCAGAGAGCACTCTTCCCTCAGCAACAAAAATGTAGCAACATGTGTGACATTGCTGCTCAGGGAAGTCCATTAGAGACTTAATGCCCAAGGTCTGAAGTGAGGGCTGATCATGCAGGCACCCTCTGCCTGGCTTGTACTGAAATTCCAGATTCCCCTAAGGAAGGCAGGTAGGTTTTCAACAGAAACCCCATTGTTTGTACAAACAGTTGAAGTACAATCAGACAACCTAATCATTTAAGGAAAGATTTATGTTAGTGTAGGGGACAATTTACCAGTCACAGTCCCAGGTGCCAACCAACAGCCAACAGCCAACTTTGCAAGCAGGCCTTTCTAAGGAGATCAGTCACAAGCCTGCTAAGTGAACTTTTTCCTGTACCACAAGTAAGCCAAAGAAGTAGACACATTCATGGTCTATACAAATGACACCAACGTAAAAGGAATGCCCACAGCTAAGGAACATCACGATTCTTTCAGCATCAGTTAAACAGACTAGGTCATGAAACAGAATTTTTTTGTCCAAGATAACCTGGAGTGTATTTTAATAAAATCAACAAAGGCAGCGGGGAGAGGGAGTAACAAAATAAGCAGCAACAAGAATGACAAATGAAAATGCTTGATTTATCAGTAGGTATAACCAGGAATATGATTCATTTTGTCCAAATGCACCTTAATCACAGGAAACTGATTTTTTGTCAACTATGAGTTTAATCCTGTTGTTAGTTTCTTTCATTTGCCTTTTAAGATCCTAAACTTGGCATGAAATCCATCCGTAAAAGATTGTTAAAGGGGGTTATGAGAATCCATAGGTGACATAGCCCGTCAGCTGTTCAGACTTAACCCAGCCTAGGAGAGAAAACTTCGAAGATGAGGAGACTGAAAAACAACAGCTTATAGAAGAGTTTTAAGTGCTAGCCACCAGACCTCCCTCTGATACCTACAGAATTCAGAACAGCTTTGAAGCAAGACCCTGATCTGGACTTTGGGCCATGCAAAGCAAAAGCCGATCTCAGTCAAGAGAAATATAAAACTCCCACTCTGTATTCTTAAGGTGATCTGTGACAGAGAGATAAGCACAGGGACAATTAAAAGAAAAAAATATCATGGGTAACCTGTCAGATTGTTGACTAAACAAAATCAGTGTGAATCCAAGTGAGCTGAGGGAAGGAATAAGTATGCTGCAAATATGCCATCCATAATTACTGTAAGACTAATCGTCAGACGACACCTCAGCCAATTCGGAGGCATAAATCAACAAATGCTGCCACACAGTAGAGGCTGCTGAGCAGCTGCAAGGGGAGTTGGAAAATGATAAGGGCTTTGAAGAAGAAGTTGCTTTTATAGGTAAGTCCTTGAAAGAGAAGCTCAGGAGATAGACACTTCAACTCTACTCTAGTCCTCAGGATAAGAATTTGTTGATTATAAACTCATTGGAGAGCATGAGCTCCCCCTCCCTTAACATGCATCTCAGTGACAGGCGGAAATAAGGAAGCTTCACTCCACCATACTGAGAAAAGAATCAAAAGATGCCTCGTCCAAAGTGCCCTTCTTAACACTGGGTGTTGCTATTTAAATTACATCTAAAAAGATTAAGAGACAAGAAAGCATGATGCATCATGGTTCTAAAGCTGCAAAGGAATATATTATACAAATTAGCTTCCGGCCTTGAAATACAGGTGCCCTTCATTAGCATTCAAGGAATACCACAGGAGCACTCACTTGATGTATACACTGAGCCACAGAGCCAGGGTCAGGGTAAATAGAAATGCCATTGGATGAAAAATTTTTTTACACAAGCAGTTAAGAACAACACAGACCTTCCCTTGGTAATATTTGCTGTTCAAATCTGATCAAAATAAAGCAGAACAGAAATACGCTTGCCAGTCTTGGTTGGTGGTCTGGCCTGTTTATTATCTTAAAAAGCAATAGGGCACGTCTTCATGACTAGGACACTGAAGGATGTGCATTTATAAATGGAAGTCTCCAGTGGTCTTAGGACGCCAGGCAGGCTTATAAGGACAAGCAGGATTCTCCATTTCAATGGCCCATCAACAACTAATACCAAGTGCATACAAAAGAAATAGCCAATCTGTGAATTAGACTTCTGCCAACACTTCCATTTTCAAAGTTAATTGTGTCTTTAATAGGCTTTGAATTGATTATAGGCCTTTGGTAAATGAAATTCTTTTTTTAAGTATAATAAAATTACATTTAGTAAGTAGAGAAAAGATCTGTCTGAGCCAATGACTATAGCTAAAGAAATGAATGGGCCAAATAGTTGTTTAGCTAAAGATCTACCTTTAATCAACAAATAAAAATGATTTACAATGATCATATTACAGCACCAGGTTAAGCAGTACGGCTCTCTACTTATATAACAATAGGC